CCAAGTTTTTATTTCCAACAACCTGCTAGCTTTAGCACGTTGGGGTGCAGGAAGCGCTGACACACAAGATTCAGCAACCACGTAGAATTTTTCGTTGATCGTACTACGAACCTTGACATAGCCCAAGTTAGCATTGACACACAAAGCAAGATTACTTGGAAGTGTCCAGGGACTAGTAGTCCGGACCACAAAAGCCGCTTTATCTTGATCATCCATTATCCGAAACGTCACATAGACTTCAGGGTCAGCAACATACTACACACACATTCAACAAAAATATCAAGATCAACTAATGCAATAAAAAGTAATGCAACATCAGAATTACCAACCTTGTAGCTCTCTCCCACTTCAAAGTTGGATATTGGAGTCTTACAACGAGTACAATACGGCAAAACCTTGTAGACAAGACCTTTATTATAAAGCTGATCAAAAACCGACCAAACTGAGTCCATACATTTCAATTCCATAGTCTTATAGTCCTGACTGAAATCGCTCCTACCACCCGTCCTGGTAATCACCTTCTCCCATTCTTTCACATAGCAAGTCGCAATAGCACTACACGATTTATTATACACAACAATAAAATTCAACAATGTTACAATCTTTAACATATATAATTTCAATACATTTCCATGTCTCGATGTTCATGTAAAAGAGTAGCAATAAAAATGAGTGCATTTAACAGTCAAAGAGACTAAGTAGTTACCTATTGTTCGTCTAAGGTCACCTTTAATATTAAGATGTATTATATATAAAAAAAGATGGTTGTGATGCTTTGGTATGAGATTAATGGCAATACGTTTTTAAGTTGTATTTTTCTTGCACTGTTGGACATCAAATTAGCTATGTAACTGTTCATTCAATACTTTTATATTCTTGACATTACTGACAATGTCTCGATCTCGATCACCAAACATATACAACGTTGTATTTAATGCAACCGAGAGCAAAAGTGTCAACTGGATAACTTTCTTCTTTAGGTCGTATCTATTATGGGGCCGGCCACCTAGAAATACTCTTTTCAGACGGTAAAAAGTCTTTGTTACTAAGCAATTTGCTTGATCTGAAGTCATTGCTTTTTGCAATCACATCGTGTGGCGCTCGATAAACAATCTCGACAGATTTCGTTGTTAATCTTCTGTGAATGATACCCTTACGATGTATACTAGCAACGTCTCTAACTATATCCTTGATTATATTCAGTCTAAGATGTGATACCTTCCTCATTTCTCCCCACGGTGAAGAACGTATCCATGATTTTTCTTTATCGCGTTCCAAAATTCATGTCTTTATTAACTTCAAAACGTATATAGGTGTAGATTGACAAAGATATGGTCAAAATGTATTTTTTCCAATTTTCCCTTTTTGAATTTATTTTAGTTTATTAATGCTTTAGAAAAAGAAAACTAATACATTAATTAACGGAAAAGATAAATGTTGAAAGTAAAAGAGTCTCCAAACTATCGATAAATCACTTAAAACATGCATCAAACTTTGTGTAATTTTTTTTTTGCTAAAAACTTTGTGTAATTGTGTTGCATTATAGCGATGTTTATCTATAATCCACCTCTCTCAATCACCAAATCAAGCGCATGATTTTCCTATTTAAAATTTGTTTTCTTTCTATTTGGATATTGGTCTTCTAGTGTTTCTTTTGCATAAGAGGTGACCAATAGTTTTATTTTATTTTTAATAGTGGTAATCTTTTATCAGATCATCGAACTTGAACACCTTCTGATCAAAACTATACCATCCGCACCAAAATCGAGATCTCTCTTATACTTATATAAACTTCAAACACCTTAAATATTTACAAACATTATTAGCATTTAAAGAAATCAATGTTAGAGAAAATGTTTAGCCGTCAAATGTTAGAGAAACAATTAATATTTATATTGCTTCCATCCACTAT